TAATACCTGGCCAATATAATATCTGTCTCGCACGAGCTTTACTTTTTTCAATGCCAATGTGACCCTCATGCAGCAATTTCAACATTTCTAAACGCAGTGACTGTGGCACTATGACCTTATCAGACATCAATAATAGTCCATCTATAGAGATAAGGCTCTCTTTCACTTTGAAATAATGTCGTATCGACTCTGGTACTTCCTGTTTGCTCTCTGGCCATCCATTAATGCAGAACTCAATTACTGCTTTTAGATGTTCATCTTTCTGTGTCTCATTTGCAAACTGTACTTTCCTTTCTTCAGACATGGGTATATTTTTGACTACTGCATGCACCGCATATTCAAATTCATTGTCACTTTTGAATCCTTTTTCTGAGAGGAATGCACGAGAAAGTGTGTCCGCAATATATAAATATTTTCCAGGTCTGTATGAGACCATTAAATCATAGTCAAGCAATCTTAAACGCATTCTTTGTAATCTTGGAGATATCCGTGCTAAATCCTTTTTAAATATGACTTCTAGCGGTTTGTGATCAGAGTGAACTTTGACCTTCTGTCCGTATACAAAATAATGAAATTTTTGAATGGCAAAGACAATCGCTAGCATTTCTTTTTCAATTTGGGCATATTTTTGCTCTGTTTTAGATAAGCTTCTATATGCAAATGCCACTGGATGCCCATCTTGCAACAAACATGCACCCAGTCCATCCTTTGAAGCATCAGTTTCAATTTCAATTTTTTTTTTAGAGTTAAAATATCTCAGTACTGGTGATGTCGTCAATAAGTGTTTAAGTTGGAACAGAGACTGTTCATGGATGTTATCCCATTCCCATGTAACATCAAGCCTTGTGAGATCACGTAATGGGGCTGTTACCTTTGACATGTTGGGCACAAACTTACCCAAGTACTTCGCCATGCCTAAAATTCTCAATAATCCTTTTTTATCACTAGGCCTAGGTAATTCTGAAATTGCTCTAACATAGTTTTTGTTGGATTCAACTCCACTTTTTGAATAAATTTGTCCCAAAAACTTTACTGATTTTAGTTTAAATTGAACTTTAGAGCTATTAAATTTAATATTGTATTCTAGTGCTCGTTCTAGGACCAATTTTAGGTTCTGATCATGCTCTTGTTCATTTGAGCCTGTCACAATAAGATCATCGAAGTATAGTCCCACTCCGTCTAAATCTCCAAATATTTCAAAGTTTTTCCTCTGAAAAACTTCTGGTGCTGAGCAAATCCCAAAGGGCAATCTAAGAAATCGGTACCGCCCAAATGGGGTTCCAAAAGCAGTGTAATCAGCACTTTGACCATCTAACCTGACTTGAAAATAGCCATCTTTCATATCTAAGACAGTGAAGTATTCTTTGTCACACAACTTGACTGCAATTTCTTCCGCTGTAGGTATTAAAAAGTGTTCTCGTTGTATCGCATTATTTAAACGTTGAGGATCCAGACACAACCTTAAATCGCCATTTTTCTTTTCAACTATTACTAATGGGTTCAGCCACTCAGTTGGTTTTTCTATTTTTTCAATGACACCTTGATCTTCAAGTTGTTTTAATTTATGTCTGAGTCTATCATGAAGTGATATAGGTACCCTCCTGGGGGGCTGAACATACGGTTTAGTATTGCTTTTTAAGGTTATGTGGTACTCAGTAGGAAATTCTCCTAAACCATCAAAAACTGAATTATACTGCTTTTTTACGTTATCTAATGAACTAAAAACAACATCCACACCCTGTCCTACATGAGCTAACCGTTCTATTAATTTTAATTCTAAACACCCTTGTAGCCCTAATAAGGGTATTTGATTATCTAAATCAACAACAATAAATTTAATCATACTTTCACACTTATTAGCTTTGCATAATAACTTAATCTCTCCACAAGGTTTAATTTTGAAATCTGGACTACCATAAGATAACAGGGTTACTGATGTTCTCTTTAGTTTATTTTCTAATTTCAGGTTTTTTAAAACATAATATGGCAAAACACTTACTTCAGCACCTGTATCTAGTTTAAATTCTACATGACTGCGTCCTATGTTTATCTTTTGCTTCCAAACACTTTCACTTTTTCTACATGTTGAACCTACTGAATCTATTACATTTATTGAACTTAGGAAATGTACATCACATACACTATCACTATCTTCTTCCTCTACCACGTGCACATTTTTTTGTTTCCAGCTTCTATTCTTTTCTTTCTTCTTTTCATCATGTTTACATACTGCAGCAAAGTGATTTGGCTTTTGGCATTTGGCACAACTTTTACCTGTGGCTGGGCAATTTGCATTTTTCTTGTGTTTGTATCCACATCTATGGCAACTGCTCTGGTTCAAGTTAGGTGTTGAGGACGATGATGGCTTACTTCTTAATGCATTAACCCCTAGTTCATTTTGAATAGCTTTGGATTGTGATTTACTGACCTCAACTGTCCTACAGAATTCAATAGCCTTTGTTAATGTTAGCTTTGGTTCTCTTAATAGTTTTTCTTGGGTATTTTTGTCCCATATGCTCATTACTATTCTATCTCTTACCATTTCATCTTGGTCTTGGTAACTAGTAGTTTTTACTGCCTTTCTCAGCTCTGTGAGAAAGTTGTCAAATGTTTGGCCTTCAGTTTGCATTACACTATTGAACTTAAATCGTTCAAATATTAAATTAGCAGTCGGCGAGCAGTAATCTTCGAATTTCTTTATGATTGATTCTAGTTTCTTATTTTCCTCTTCTGTGTATGTAAAGCTATTGTGAAGATCCAGTCCTTCATCACCCACAAGGTTCAAGAATACGGCTATCTTCTGTGCTTCTGGCTTATCCAGTAATCCTGTGGCTGTCAGGAATAACTCAAACTTTTGTGAAAATCTTTTCCAGTTTTCCGCTATATTTCCATCTAGGTTCAACGGTTCAGGAGGTCTACACAAATTCTCCATATTAGTCACAAAATATCATCAGAAAACGTGTAAAACTCGTAGACTATTTAGCCCGAATAAACACCTGACACCATGTAATATCCTGGTAAACCTGCTAGGGTATAAGGATGAATAAATAAGAATGTTTTATTCCAGGTCTTTTATTGTGATCCTTTATAATCTGACACCCACATGTTGACTGCCCTAACATGACAGGTCAAGTCACCACGAGGCTGCTGTCATGTTGGTTGCCTAACAATGGCACCACATATATTACACGAACCATCCAAGGCGGGTAATTACGGTTTACCAAATTGCTTCAATATTTTCTCCTGTATATTTTAGGCTGGAGTGATGGGGATATGTCTTTTTAATAATGACATATTTACTGGCGCTGAATTTATGGCCACTTTTGTCACAGAACGAGAAGAACCTTTCTACAGCTGCAGTAACTACGGAACTAGAAGCGTTTAACGTACAATCAGGAGTCGCTAAAAATTCTATGTCTGAAAACGATATTCGAAAAAGCTGTTTTCACAAAGCTAAAATCAACGCCCCATAAGAAAATTTGAAGCTGTCCAGGGTGCAACGAAACATTTAACGAACCTATCACAGAAGACTGGATTAAGTACGCAGGTTATGGATCTTATAAATGTGACCAATTGTGACCAATTACAATCCTAAATACGTAATTTAAAAAAAAACGGTTTATAAGAGTGCGCAAAAGCACTTTTTTTAGGTTCACTTTTTCTATTAAAATAATATTGTTTCGTTCGCAAATTATAATTGATTTTGTTGTTTATGTACCAACAATCTTAAATAAAATAAATATACTTTCAACGCAATTGGTTTGGATTTTACACTTGATTAAATCGTATACAAATGATTAAAATATAAATATTCCCAGCATCACTCTAAATGGCTTGATTAATCTTGGGTATACAGTTTACTTTAATTGCTATCATCTTTTTCCTATAATTGCCCTAGTAGGCGGTGCGTTTTGCTTTGAGACTTCTTACGTCTCTCTGATTACGGGTAGACCCAGAAATACGTATTAGAGAATGGTAAGAGACTCAAATTAAATCGAAACGCAACCGTCTATATATTAACCAAGTGCAACCAAGTGCACATTCTTGAAGCACTTTTCTCTATTGACCATTTTGTAACCATTTTATATATTTTTTAACAGTGATAAAATTATCATAGTTACCATCTTTTTCGCGCTGTTCCTTATCATTCTTCTTTTCTTCCTCATTATTCTCTTCCTCATTCTTCCCGTTGTTTTGATTTTCTCAGACATCATCTATCTTATGGTCAATTCTCTGTCTTACTTGTATTTCTAGCACTTAAGTCACAGAATATGTCTATTATTCTCAATATTCTCATACTAATAGATTTATCTTTTTTCGTTTTAATTTTTTTGATAATCCTTTTACGTATGGTATTTTTATTGGATATGTTGAATATTGTCTTTTTCCAGTTTATTTATTATGTAAAATTCCTTATTTATTAATGAAAAAAGATAATCTTTTTTCAATAATAAATATTTTTACAAAATAAATGTAAAAAAATTTTTCCTCTTTAAAAATTTTTCTAGAACCAGTAATTACTTTTGGCTGTATCACAATATAATACTTTATGATTCTGTTTATAATATTAAGATGGTGCTATTTATTTGTTATTAACATATCTGTATTTGTTGGTTCTGTACTTATTTAAATCTCATACCTAGTGTCTTCCTTATAGCTATATCCAGGAAAGGTAATGAGGTATTTTTTCTAATACCTCATTATCTTTTTTGGTGAATTTTATCGACTTTCCTTCATCGTTTGTATTTAATTCATACCTATATTTTTTTAATTACTAAAGTGCAATTACTTTTTTGGTATTATACAGATATCAAATTTTTGGTTATTAGAGCTGACTAATTTACTTCAGCAACTTTTTCTGCTGTACTACGAAACTCTATTTTAATGTTTATTATCAGAAAAAATTTACCTAGTCCTTGGATTAAAAAATAATAACATTTTCTTTTAATTTATTGACTAGAAAAAATAAATACATAAATAAATTAAAATAACAGATACTCTTATTTTCTGTAGGCTGCATATGCCAAATCTTGGGCATCATTTTCTTCGAAATTTCTCGCATGTTTAACAGCATGCTCTTCCCAAGGACCATGAGCTGCAAGTTGCGCCTGAGCATTATTTTCAGCAATTTTCCTGCACAATTGGAAAATGGCTAATGCAGACGAAATGACGAATGAGATGACAGATAACTGCAGTGAGTTCCAGGCTTTGTATAGAAGAACTCCAATGATTAGAGGTACTACGGTCATCGCCTTCAGGAGAAAGAAGGTTAAGATTGGGGTAAGGATTTTTTTAACTTTGGATTTTCTAGCTAAAAATTAAATACAATGTTAACACATACAAAAGTTAAAGTAAAAAGTAAAAAGTTAAAATTCGTTCTTTCAACTCTGCTTTTCTATAGCAAATAATTAAAATTAAATATATAAAAGATATGAAAAACTATTACTCTATACTGGTCAATCTGAATAAAACTCTTTAAAATACATTAACAAATTAGCAATGAATAGGTTAAAGTATCATGGCATGTAATCATAGTAAGAAGAGAAAATACCAGACGACTGGAAGAAAAGTATAGTATGCCCGATCTATAAAAAGGGAAATAAACTCCAGTGCAAAAACTACCGTACAATTTCTCTACTACATACAGCATTATAAAGTCCTCAAGTATATTATAAACCAGCGGATCCAACCACTTGCAGAAAATATTATTGGAGAGTATCAGACGGGCTTCCGATGGGGAAGATCGACACTGGATCAAATATTTACAGTCAAACAGATCTTGAGTAAATCTTGGCAACATGACATTGATGTTCACTGCGTGTTTATAGACTTCAAACATGCATACGACTCAGTCAAATGAGACAAACTCTACAATATATTGGCTGAATTGGCAATACCACACAAGCTAATTAGACGCATTAAAGCCACACTAGATGAAACTCAGGCATGTGTACGAATAAAAAGCCACCAGACAGACTTTTTCAAAATTTCGCAGGGATTAAAGCAGGGAGATGGGCTGGCCCCAACTTTGTTTAACTTGGCACTGGAGTATGCGGTTAGGCAAATGAAAACTGGACGAGGAAACCTACTGACCAACCGACCGGTCGCTTATGCCGATGATATTTATATTATGAGTGAAACATCAACAGGAGCACCGGAAACATACGCAGAGTTAATACAAAAATAATGATACAGACGAAAAGGAATATAGTCCCTCAAAACATTATTCATGAAGATGACATTAAAACTGTTAGAAAGTTTACATACCTGGGAGAAGAAATATATGCCAACGGATTAGAAGATGGAGAAATACGGAAGAGAATAACGCAAGCAAACAGAGCTTATTTTACCCTCTTTCATTTTTTTCGATCTAAAAATGTTCACCGAAATACAAAGATGAGAATCTATAAAACCTTAATTCAACCAGTAGCATGCTATGGCAGTAAAGGATGGGTCCTAAAAGAAATATCCAAAAGAAAACTCGACACATTCGAAAGAAGAGTACTGAGGAGAATACTAGAACCTGTGAAAGAAAACGAAATCTTCAAAAGTCGATACAACCACGACCTTTATTACTTTTATAAGGACGCATCACTGTCAGATTTCATTAGAATACAAATACTGCTATAGGACGGACATGTGATAAGAATGGGAGAGGTCAGAAAGAGCACTGAATGCTAAAATGCAGGAAAAGAGACTAGTTGGAAAGCCAAGAAAGCGCTGGGAAGAACAGTAAACAGCGACGCACAAGTCCTGTTAGGAGTCCGTGTATGGAGAAGATAAGCCACAGAGCAGCAAGTATGGAGACAAAAAATAAAGGAGGACGAAGGCTCAATTTGGGCTGTAGTACCGTAGAAAAGGAAGAAGGTTAAAGTATCACTGTTATCAGGCACTAGACTCACAACTACTAAAAATGTTTTAATATGTAACAAGAACAGAAAAAGTAAAGATTGGTTTGATAAATAGTGTAACGCAAGAGTAACGCAGCGAAAGTTCGCGATTTAATCAGTAAAAAGTATAAAAATATTTACACACGAATGGAAAAGAAAATTTTTACAAGGAAAAAAGAGCGATCCGAACACTCTTTAAACGATATAGTCTACCAAAATAATAAAAAATAGCACACAAATAAACTAACAAATTAATTGTCGTAGACGATAGTTCAAATACATTATAATTGCCTGTAAAGGTAACGATGGGATAATTAGTAATAAAAGGCAAATATCAAACAAATAACACCTGAGCAGGCTGGATTTGTGAGGGGCAAAGGTACAACAGAACACATCTCTAATGTAAAAAATATCATGGAAAAAGTCCAAAAATGACAACAATAAGTGTACCTTAACTCACATTAAAAAATTTATCAAGATAACCTGGCATTGATTCGAATGGACGAATAGCTATCTGACGAATGCACTTTACAGAAGGGAGTACGCCATTTAACATCTATTCATAGTACATAAAATACAGAGTCTTGGATGGTTGGAAGGGAAGAGTAAACCTAGGCTGTGTCAACACGACCCTTACTGCCTCTATTTCAAAAGAAATTACTAGCTTATTAACAAAACTTGAAGTAGAAAGTGTTAAATTTGGACTAAAAAAATACTACAACAAAACCAAAATCATGGTTATTGATCGCCAACAGTTTCCTACAAATCTGAACTATAGCTTCTCTATGATAGTAGTGACTTGACGCTTTTGAAGTATGGATATAGAGACGACTGCTTCAAATTTCATAGACGACAGCTTTCCATACAGATATCCTGGTTATAAATAAAATTAACCACAATTAGCTAGACTAGACTAGAATTTTAAAGTTCTTTGGTCATATCCATCATAGTGATCAAAAAATGAAGAGGTTGGTAATCCAAGGAAGGCCTTAGATTCAATGCCAATGCTGCAGATCTCCACAGCGATGGGCAGACATTACGAAAAATCTTCTCAACAAGCAGTACATGTAGCAGATGATCGCAGCTAGTGGAGAAGTATCATTGATCAGACTATTCGAGCTGCTGAAGCTAAATGATGAACCACAACACATGTGCCAAGATGTTAGTGACTATGATGATAATCAAACAAATTTTTATTTTTACTGTTACTTAACAGACGAGAGTCAGAAGAGAAGCAGAATGTTGAACTAACTATAAACTACTGACAGCAAAAATGGCATTAATTGGAAACATATAAGGAATATAGAGAAAAAGATAGAGAAGTAAAAAATCAAATAACACAACAAAAGAATGAAGAATGATAAAGAACCTGCTTAAATATTGAAACATACATAGGAGGCACAAGAACTTCGGAGTCATGGAAAATACTAAGAGGATTGAAACAAAAACTAAAAAGCAAAAATTAAATAAATTGGAAAATAAAAAATTACATTGCCTCCCATAGTTCTGACCTTTACAAGGTCACAAATATGGGAGGCAATGTATAAATAAAAATACAGACAGATCTCATAAAAGCTACAAAAGCTCTGTATACAGAAAATACTGTCCATTAAAATGGGAACAAGTGAAGAATACATAGAAGATCTATAGATTATTGACAATGTAACAATCAAAGGAAAGGATAAATTCAAATACTTGGGGTTTATAATCACGAAAAAGGCAAAAACAGAGGAAGAAATTAAGGAAAGATTATGACAAACAAGAACAGCAATCCGACAACTTAACTCAGTATGGTGGGATAGACACCTAAATATGAAGACAAAAACACAGATAATAAAATATTGATTATAAACAAGAAAAACAGCAGTTAGATAGTAGCAATAGAGATGGAATGTCTGCAAAGATGCTGCAGAGTAACAAGAATGGATAGGAGAAGTAATGATGACTTAAAGCAAAGAATATCAATAGAAACAGACATACTAACATATATAAAACAAAAAAGACCAAAGTGATATGGAAATGTAAGAAGAACTAGGGACAGCAGATAGGTAAAGAGAATAACCGAATAAAGCCCCACAGAAAGGAGGAAAAGAGGACGACTCCGAAGATCCTGGAGGATCGAAGTAGACAACGCCATGAGTAAGAGAGGCCTAAGCGATGGAGAATGGGACTCCAAAGAGAGATAAAAACGGTTGAGCGAGGAAAGGCACTGAATAGTGTAGAATCCCTAAATATGTATACTAAATAGATAAAAGTATAAAATTTAAATATTTGACTAAATTTATAAAGCAATATCTTACCTTCTGCAACTCCAGTTTCACCGTAGTTAATATTTAAACTTACTTCATTATTGTCAAGGTTTTTGGTATTAAGCTTAACAGTTCCAATGATAGGAAGTTTAAAAGAAGCATCGTGCGTTTTTATATATCTTTCAATTTTATCTTCGTAGTCTAAGCTTCTTTGTTCAGTTTCATCGATTTCTGCTCCATTCTGGTAAATTTCAACATCATCACCTACCTAAAATTTGAATTATTAGCAGATTTGCAACTATATTTACTTTAACATTTATATATCTTAGTGCAGATTGATCTTATTTGCGTACTTTTAAGTTATCTTGACCAAGAATATTTTCCAAAAAGTTTGCGATACTCTCCTCTACATAACCGATAGGATCGTCTTCAAAATCGGTGGTCTTTTCTTCAGTAGCTGAAGCTACTGGAGAAGACAAGGCTGAAGAAACTAAAACCAAAAGTAAACAAACTTTAAAACCGACCATCGTGAAATCACTTTCAAAGAATGAACTTGAAAATGTTACCCTTATAGTTTTATATACTGCCATTTCAATAAAAGAAGCTATCAGGACATAAAAGGACAACGGAGTTAATTATGGGAATCCGGAGCTGCGTACAACATGCATATTAATAACGTATTGTCGTGTACACGTATGTATTGGTATTCAGCACTTTTCCTTATATAAAAGTGTCCAAATATTTAGGCTGGTTTACTTTTTCTTTGATTTCTTTGGTTATGTTTACGTGTAAATTAAAAGGACGGAAAATTTTAATTTTGCAATTTGGTCAGTCGGTAAAAGCTTTTATCATGCACTAAGAGGACCTAGATTTTTGGATAGTGAAAATGTTTATTTTAGTTTATTAAAATGATGTTAGTTACAGCTATTTAAAAAAAAGACCTTCCGTGTTATTTATATCACTTTATAGAAGTAATTTATTTTCGTATTCTTAAGTAATCATTTAGAATATTAAACACAAAACTATAATATGCGAGTAATAATATGAGATTATAACTCATGCCAAAACGTACTTATGCCTAAAGTAAGTAGACTATTATTTACTGGCAGTTAGGCTAGACTTCGTCATTTTTATGACATCTAGCAAAAAATAGGAAAATAAATACAAATGTATTTATAAACACTTTTATTATAAAAAATACGAAAAAGAGTTTATGCGTTTTTATTCATATCTCGAGTTCGACAAAAGCTATTAACATGCGGCTTGCGCCATTTTGTTACGAATTTAATCCAGTTCCATTATAGTTTACAATAAATAGGTGTTTCCATTAAACATTTTGAAGAAAAACAAATTTTAATTTTTTCTATTCGAAAGTACCCTCTACCTATGCCAATTAAAACTGAATGCAATTATTTTATAGTAGATGTAAATTAATTCATCCACACTCTTTCTATTGACACTAATTTCGTTAAAATCGGTTAATCCAATCCAAAGTTATAGGTATTTATCCACAAATACTTCCCACTCTCCCCCACCCTTTATTTAAAAAAATAAAAAAAAGTACTTGAACAACTTTGTGTGGAATTTAGGCCTCTTTCTAGTTTACTTATTTAACACTTGGTATAATTGTGCAGATTTCTAAAAAAACTGGTTTTCAAAGTTTTCTTCTTAGCGGTTAACCCTAGCGGTTAACCTAGAAACTTGAAAGTTATTTCCAGCGATTTCTTTTAGCCACTTTTACTAAAAAATTTTTTCTCCCAAAGTTATAACATAAATAGTTTCTGATATATAGCCGAGAGATCGGCTTTTTGGACCACCCGGTACATATACTAACTCGACCTTAGGCCTCTCTTACTCATGGCGTCGTCTAATTCGTTCCTTCAGCATCTTTGTGGTCGTCCTTTTTTCCTTCTTCCTGTGGGGCTCCATTCGGTTATTCTCTTTATCCATCTGCCATCGCTTGTTCTTCTTACATGTCCATACCGCATTAGTCTTTTTTGTTCTATATATGTTAGCTTGTCTGTTTGTATTGACGTTCTTTGCATTATTTCGTAATTACTTCTCCTATCCATTCTTGTTACTCTGCAGCACCTTTGCCTTTTTCGTGATTTTAAATCCCAAGTATTTGAATTTATCCTTTCCTTTGATTGTTACGTTGTCATCAATTTGTAGATCTTCTATGTCTTCTTTAACTGTAACTGGGTACTCTGTTTTCGCGATGTTAGTATCCAGGCCAGCCTTGGTATATTCTTCTTATAGTTTCTTTATCATTAACTGAGGTCTGTTTAGCCCTGTGCAATCACTGTATTCGTCTCGTACCAGTAATCCCATGCCTTCGCATTTTCTTTTCCATGTAGTCAAGGCTTTCTCTAAGTATAATTTGAATAGGGTTGCAGATGTGGAACAACCCTGCAGGAGTCCTTGGGAGGAGTTGTAGTGTAGTCTCCTATGATTATTGTTCCCATTTTAATGAACACTTATTTTGTTTATACAGAGCTTTTGTCGCTTCTATGAGTTCCTTGAGGTCTATGAATTTTATTATGCTTATTCCTCTGTAGTTTTCGCATTGTTTTCTATCTTCTTTCTTAAATATAGATGTCATATATGCCTCCGTCCATTCCTTTGAGTGCTGTCCTCCTTTTATGGATTTCTGAAATATCCATTTTATTATCCAGTGTAATTTTTTATGTGCTTTTTTAGTGCTTTCTTATTTTTGGTTGCTTTTGTGGCCTTTTTCATTTCCCTATCTGATATTTCTTTTTCTTGTTGTGGGGATCAGCTTCGTCTTCACCTGTTTTCTTTTCCAATGAATTGTGGTTCTTGTTCTGTTGTAATAGTTCATCCATTTTTTGTCCTGTATATTTACCAATTTAATTTTTTTTTTGAGTTTTGTTTCAATCCTCTCAGTACTTTCCATGACTCCAAAGTTCTTGTATCTCCTATGTATGCGTTAATATTTAAACAAGTTCTTTCCCATTCTTCATGTTTTTGTTGTGTTATTTGTTTTTCTCTATCTTTTTCTACACATTTTTTATAAACTTCATCATTGTTTGTAGTCAACCATTTTCTGTATAGTTTTTTTTCTTCAATAATTCTTTTTGCTGGTTTATTTATCTCATAATAGTACTGTTTATTTATTATATGTTTTCTCTACAAGCGCTTTGAATTCTGCTTGTTTTATACTCGCCTTTATATGACCGTATATTTCTTCGATATTGCCGTATCCGAATTCTAATAACTTTTAGTCTAGCCGTTGTTTGTATAGTTCTTTTATTGATTGTTCTTGGAGTAGTTTTATATTGTATTGTTTTTCTCTTATAGTGTTCTACGGTTCTTCTGTAGAGGGGGTCTTGTTATGTTCCCAATTAATGCCCATTTTTGCTGACAGTAGTGTATGGTCAGGCCACATTCTGCTTCTTTTCTAACACTCTTATCTTTTATCTTTATTGTGGTATCTAGTTTGACTATTACATTGTAAGTTATTGATTTAAGCTTGCGTGTTTCTTGCCTCCATGTATATTTATTAATATTTTTATGTATGAAGAATCCGTTGGTAATTTTTAGGTTGTTTACTTCGCATAATTCAATCAGATGTTCTCCGTTATTGTTTTGTTCATCCTCTAGAAATCTCCACACTACTTTATGGACAGTTCCACATTCTGCTCCTCTTCTGACACTCACAACTTTTATCTTTATTGTGGTATCTAGTTTGACTATTACGTAGTCTATTATCGACTTCAACTTTCGTGTGTCTTGCGTCCATGTATATTTATGAATAATTTTATGTTTGAAGAATCCGTTGGTGATTTTTAGGTTGTTTAGTACGCATAATTCAATTACATTATGTTCTTCGTTATGGTTTTGTTCATCCTCTCCAAATATCCCCACTATTTTACCATTTTATTTCCTTCCGGGATAAAACTTTACTATGTTTAATTTGAATGCGTTTGTAGTGTAAATTACATACTAGTTAATACTTACAATATTTATCATATCATAGAAGATACAAAAGGCGATCTCCTGGTTTTACGACCCGCATTCATATTCGAATACATCTAGTTAAATGTATTCACTCTGCTTTTCGTTCCATTATAATGTTATTATACCGGATTTGCCATTTATTTTGGAGACATCAATATCTTGTTAAAGAGGTGAAAGAAGTAAAACTATTTTATTTTTCTTTGGCATATATAATACCAATGTCTTTCTTTTATCAATTTATATTTAACAATTCCTGTGGAAGTCCGTTTTTATTTTTGCGAAAAGTTCCGATAATTGTCAGTTTGTATTGATCTTTTAATAACTCCTCTGCTAAGTGCACTTATGTAAACCAGGTGGTTATGGCAATATTTCTATTACTACTACGGACTGATTTTGTTAGTTCCTTTACAAAATATATATCCAACAGCAAACGATTTGTATTGGTTTTCTTGCATAAATAAGAAAACGCATCGATCATGTATTTCGAGAGCGAGGAGAATTTTGCCATTGAAATGCTACTGTTAATTTAAAATTTTTTAAGAACTAGATTTTCAAATTTTGTTATATTAAAATTATTTAAATTAATTTGACTGTCATACTTAAAAAAATTTTAATTTTAAAGTTAAATTTAATTCAGCAAGTGATTGTTAAAAGTATGCCAATATTATACACATTGACTTACATTTCCAATTTCTTTTAATTGTTCAACTACTAAGGTCTGTTAACATCAAGAACTTAGTTAACTTTAGAAATAGAAGAAGAACTGTCACACTTTAACCTACATTATCTTGTCAAATTTACCTCTTAAAAATACTAGTAGACAAAAAAAAAATCCAATTCCTCTCCTAGCAAGTAATGTAGTGCCTATAAATCACTATTTTAAAGTTTTATGTTTGTTTTGTCCTGTTAATTGTGTCCTGTTTGTCCATAATTGTGTTTTTTTTTATTATTTTTTAACATTTGAAATCACAATTCTCTTCCTAGCAGAAATTAAATGCTTTTCAATCAAAAGATTATAATTACAAGTCAAAGAGATTGCGCACCCACAAAACAGTACAAGTACTTTCATTCATCGTCATATAACTGTCCTCTTTCTTTATTAAAAAATTTCAATAATTTAACACACATTTCAAAATATATCTCTTCAATAAATATAAATAACTATAATAATTTAAATAATATAAACATCACCTTTTCTTTCAACAAACAATAACATATACCTTACTCCTACATCATCTGTTAACACCCATCCCCTCAAGAAATATCCTCCTAAGTTGTTAGACAGTTACAATATTGACCGAAGATCACTCATTATCAGTAATAAGGAATAGTTTGAACTATGAACCACCAATCACTATATAGTAATTCTTGTGCCGGAATGAAAGTAGTATTTTGTTTATTTCTAATGAATCACAGTTCAACAGACTTTTTCTCTTACCAATTTGTGGGTTGTTACTCTGTCTGCTAATGCAATTTATGCATATTAATTAACACAGACCTGTAATATTGGCATAATTACTAAAACTTTTTTGATCTATATCCTTATAAGACAGCACCCTAATATGGGCTTTTTATAATTTCAGCATTTAATTTACTTTCTATTACCGACCTGATGATGCTTTGCAAATTTTAGAAAGCGAAACCGGTCGTCTGAGGTAGTAAAATTAAATTGATTGTGAGTAAGTCTAATTATTTCTGTTTTACCTTTTTAAAATAGACTCACATAAGCAACACATTCATCTTTTGAACTAAGTTTCCTTTTTTCCAAATAACTTTAAAGCCGCCTCCATTTAGTATCTGTGACCCATGTTGCACATTTGAAAAATACATCTGTGAAATCAACGATTTTTATGCCGTACTCTATAAAATATTTTTCTTGTACCATTTTTGCTGTAGCATTGACTTTACAGACGAGTTTTTATAGTCTTCGCCATTATCTTTTTTCATGTTAAATGCATAATCCTCGAGAATTTTTGCTAGTTCCCTTATGGTAGGAACCCGTAAAATTTCTCATCCGTAGATTACGCCTCAATGACGTTTGTCAAACTGACACCAATATACGAGTAATTACCAGACATCATCCTGACGGATCTGTCATAATTTTATCGCTAAGAAATCCCAAGCAGGAAGGAGTTTTGTCAGTAGAAAACGTGACGTTGCTATGGCGTTTTATCTGTTAAAAATAGTTTAGTGAAACAGTCAAATAAAAATCTAATATTTTAAATGTTTTTATTCAATTGAAATAAATAATAAATAAATACAATAAATAACTAGTTTCAAAAATTATTGTCGGTGCGCACTGTATGCTAAATCTTGAGCATTTAAACTTCTAGCCAGGTAGACAGGTTGAGCAACTGGCACTGCTGGTGCAGGAAGAACATCAACGTGATGGTAACCGACATGGTGATCTACGTGTTGCGGAACATGTACTACTTCGTAAGCTTCTGCCTAAACAAATAGTGATTGATTAAATAAACATACTAAAAAATATAAAATGAGCTAAAGCTAATTAACTAAAAATATAAATAGCAAAATTAGCGATCGTTAAAAATAAAAACAAAACATAATGATGCCGGTTAGATAAAATTATTTGGGTGTATTACTAAAATTATCTGACAAAAAAGGGTTTCTGTCAAAAATTAGATAGGTATTCATGGTATACTAACTAGAATTATATTGATATATGTGATATTAAACCCTTCGGTATTTTAAGGTATGCAGTTACAAGATTCTGTCACGTGTCCTCTTTAATTTTCAATCTTAACATCAGTCGTTCTATAAGTTGTAATCTAGGTATTTGGATCTCATCTTGCTTCCTTTGGCTTTTGTAGGACTTGTTTTGGTTCAATTTGTGCGCAAGCGCTATTCTTGTTTATACTAAAGCAGCTGCTTATTTTTTAGATCATCTGTGATGGTTTCTTTAATCATTTTTGTAATTTTTTTCCCTTTATAAAATAGTATACCGTTTTTGGTGTCTATATTTGCTATATCTTGGCCGTTAACTTCCTTGTCCTAGGCTTCATCCTGCGTTTTAAAGACCTTTCTTGCAGCCGTTTGCTATTGATTTTACCCTTGATGATGAGTTTTTATAGGACTGTTTTATTTTTGTTAACAGTCTTGTGTTGAACTTTAATTTCTACAGAATTGAAATATCCATGCAATGATCTATATATTATATTTGCATTTGCTATTAAAGTTATTATTTTGTTACATACCTAGTACTGTTTGAGCAAGATTTTAATGTTGCTACAGTGTATATTTATAGCTTTAAATTATATAAAAAATAGAACTTATTTCTTTAATGTCTTTTTTATTGAGTTTTAAGTTTATTATCTAAAAAGAGATATCTTAAATAACGCCTGTATTTTTCAGAATGTTTTAATTGTTATATGAATAACGTAAAACTCTTTGGTCTCTTAACGTAACTAATTATTTTTTAATAGAACAATATCTCGCTTTTGAATTTTTCAAGTGTTAATTTACAATTATCTAGTAACCTACCTTTGGTCCCATAAGTTTTGAAAATATGGCAATAGCTCCCGATAGTACCAATGACAGTAAACCTAAGGTCAGTGCTTTCCACGTTTTTAATGCAATAAGAGCTAAAGCAAATGGAACCAAAACAGCTGTCTTAAATTTAAGTCCTAGTAGGAATGGGAAGATTATTCTTTTGACCAACTTTGATGAACGCCCTTAAATTAAAAAACAATGTAAATGGAAAAAGAATATTAGAATAAAGTGTTTTTGTTAATAAGTTTTTACCAATAATATAGTAAATAAAGCATTTTGCAAACATATTATTGCATGTTAACTGGATAAAATTTTTCCAAATTCCCAATATTTACCATATTTGGAAGACATCAATAATTTATATTAATTATTTATAATATATTACAACACACATATTTTTTAAAAAGTTATTAATAATATCCGCAAGAATTGTTAAGACCATAAGCTTATTAGCTTTCCAACATAAACACTAAAAAACATATTGGAATTACTTTACAACATAAGTTTATAGAGCAGAAATAAAAATATAAGAAAATAGGGGATTATGCCAAAATTGATTATAATAAAGATTACATTTTTAACTGTTGTTTAACATGTCGATTTCCAGGAACACTCAAAAGAGGGGTTTCAAAAATGTCAATAATATGATATGTAAAAGGCTTATCAGAAACATTAAAAAAGAAAGAAAACAAGCACAGCATTACAACAATATTCAAAACAACAGATACCTAAGATCTATCCTGTCCAAAACCAAACCTTACAACACACAAGGAAGATCAAAGAAGTTCATCTATAAAATATACTTTGAATGCAACAATTTTACAACCTACCTACCTTTCATCCTACTTAATAAAGAAAAATGTGTAACAAAACTGTCAGCAGATTGTAGCAGGCTCTAGTTGCCAAAACTAAAATAAGAAGTCAGCTACAAAAGTGTACCAGCATTAGCGGATTAACAAAAGTCGATGACACAAGTCTGCAAGTAAGCCACCTGTCAATTTGGAAAACATAACCGCCAAACAACTATTTGTTTTAATAACAATTATAAAATTTAATTTCTATGACAATAAATTGTGGTTGAATTTCATATAACCATAATATTTAAATCCTGTATAAGTTTAATTTCCTTTACTCAAACTACAACAATATTTTATTACTCTTTTTTAATTTACCTGTCGCAGCCAAAGGTACAGTTAAATCTGCAGGTTGAAAACTCCTTGGAATGTATTGTCCTAATGGACCATTGGGCTTAAGAATTGCCGGCGCCCTAGCAACGATATTGTGAGATTGCAAAAAGTCTTCAAACTTATCCAAAACATCTTTTTGTAGACCTTTTGTTGTCTGAAAAAAAAAATAAAAAAATTTTTTACTAAAGTTTATTTAAAGTCATATTATCATTAAAAGTAATATGCAAGTATACACAAAAAACCCGTAAAAACTTGTAACGTTTTAAACTTCACATTTTTATTAATTTATATTTAAATAATTATTTTATTTTAATTTCTTTACAAATTTATTAATTTCAGTTACTTTTTCTAGTATTTTTTCTTCAAAAAATAGTTGGCGCCATCTCTCTTTCTGTCCGATAGACTAAATATTCTGTTCAATGTGGACAGAAGAGCTAATTCCATTATAAGCATACGTTCTATTGTTTCCTGTGCTATACTCTATTGTAGCTACTTTCCACTGATTTCAATAAGCTTTCAAATGTGGTGGGACATATTTTTTTGTCTGTAGTTAAAATTTATATAGCAAGGAAATATGGAATAGGGTTCATTTTATGGTCTGCAGAGACCTCTTGGGTTTCTGGAATCTTTTGTGGAATAATTTAGGTGATAATTTATTTAGTTAAATGATGTATTTAGTTAAATGAAAAGAAACAACAAAACACCACAAGCAATCCGGAAACACTCACAACATGGGGCTCAAAGATGACAACGATACCACAAGTAAAGGGCTTATTGGAAAAAGTGAAAAGGATAGGAAACAATTACAACATCACAGCAACATTCAAAACAAGAAACACACTAAGATCTATCCTAATATTGTTCTGAAGCTATTTTCTTGTGGCATTGTAAATTAATTACTATTTATCTGGGAATAAGCCACAATTTAAGATAAAAATACGTTTATTGACGTTTCAATTTCCACTTCGGAAATCGTTCTCAAAATACAAACAGTAAATTAAAAAAATTTTGTTTTTTGTTAGGTAGTGAAAAATTCTTCTAATAATTTAATTTTATCTGACTCATTTATATTGACAATTCAGACATACATTATGCATTTTAAAGTAGACGACCTTAAAATGATATTGCCAATATTGTTGAGTTGCGCTCCTGGGACGACTTTACTTATAAGATAGTTCATTCGATTACATGAAATCAACTTTAACTTGAGAATATCTGTCAGAAAAAATCATAGCATGTAATTCGTCTTTAAAAAGACAAACACATGACATGATGACAGTAAAATTCTTCTGTTAGTGATTCCATAGTAAATTATGAGGGAAAAACCAGGAAAAAAACTTCATAATACTATCCCGACATTGTAAGTATTTGTTCGTGAATTTAGTTTACCTTCAACAAACATCAAAGTTCTGATTTTATATGTTACGTTATTTAAAAAACATAAATGATGTATCCTCTATATGTTACTGACTTACAAATACTGGTATTTTCTTATTAATAACTTCCTCTTTCAAAATTGGTAACCAGATCCTACTACATTCTGCCGAGGAATTTGCGACACAATTGGCCTCATTTAGCATAATTAGAGCCGCTTTTTGATTTTTCTTTTTTTACCATCCGTTTCTTTTAGGACTACATTTGAATTATTCCATTGAACCCTATGTTCATTATCCCATGCGTGTTTACATATTTGAGATGTATCAAATTCTCTATTTTTAATATAAGATTGATGTTCACTTATTCTAACATTTAATGGCCTTGATGATTCACCTAAATAAAACTGATCGCATTCACAAGGTATTTTATAAATGAATTTCTTTGTCCTTTCTTGTTCATTGTTAGGTTTGGTTTTGGACAAAATAGATCTCAACGTGTTTGTTGTTTTGAATGTTGTTGAAATGTTTAATTCAAAAATTTAATTTAATTTAATTTTAAACATTTCAACAACATTCAAAACAACAAAACACGTTGAGATCTATTTTGTCCAAAACCAAACCTAACAATGAACAAGAAAGGACAAAGAATTGCATTTATAAAATACCTTATGAATGCGATCAGTTTTATTTAGGTGAATCATCAAGGCCATTAAATGTTAGAATAAGTGAACATCAATCTTATATTAAAAATTGAGAATTTGATAGATCTCAAATATGTAAACACGCATGGGATAATGAATATAGGGTTCAATGGAATAATTCAAATGTAGTCCTAAAAGAAACGGATGGTAAAAAAAGAAAAATCAAAGAAGCGGCTCTAATTATGCTAAATGAGGCCAATTGTGTCGCAAATTCCTCGGCAGAATGTAGTAGGATCTGGTTACCAATATTGAAAGAGGAAGTTATTAATAAGAAAATAGCAGTATTAGTAAGTCAGTAACATATAGAGGATACATCATTTATGTTTTTTAAATAACGTAACATATAAAATCAGAACTTTGATGTTTGTTGAAGGTGAACTAAATTCACGAACAAATACTTACAATGTCGGGATAGTATTATGAGGTTTTTTTCCTGGTTTTTCCCTCATAATTTACTATGGAATCACTAACAGGAGAATTTTACTGTCATCATGTCATGTGTTTGTCTTTTTAAAGACGAATTACATGCTATGATTTTTTCTGACGGATATTCTCAAGTTAAAGTTGATTTCATGTAATCGAATGAACTATCTTATAAGTAAAGTCGTTCCAGGAGCGCAACTCTACAATATTGGCAATATCATTTTAAATAATTGATGGATTCGACCGTTACTTGATGGAAGTTCATTTTATGTAACAATAAAACACTGAAAACTTTGTTTTCAAACTTCCACAAAATTTATTTTAACTATTATCACTACAGCTGTTTCGGCTGATAGCCTTTCTCAAGTGATCTATTTTTGGCATGCGTTTACAATTTATAGTCTCTAATGAAATAGGTTGAGGAGGGGAGAACTGTTTGTCTCAAGTTGGTCATTCAGAATTATATCTGTGTTTTTTAATTTATTGATTTCCATAGATTCTAACAAAGATAGCTTAAGGCCTTTATTTTGAACGTGAAGAATTTTATATTTGTCATTAAAAGAATGACAAATATAAAATTCTTCACGTTCAAAATAAAGGCCTTAAGCTATCTTTGTTAGAATCTATGGAAATCAATAAATTAAAAAACACAGATATAATTCTGAATGACCAACTTGAGACAAACAGTTCTCCCCTCCTCAACCTATTTCATTAGAGACTATAAATTGTAAACGCATGCCAAAAATAGATCACTTGAGAAAGGCTATCAGCCGAAACAGCTGTAGTGATAATAGTTAAAATAAATTTTGTGGAAGTTTTGAAAACAAAGTTTTCAGTGTTTTATTGTTACATAAATATCATTTTAAGGTCGTCTACTTTAAAATGCATAATGTATGTCTGAATTGTCAATATAAATGAGTCAGATAAAATTAAATTATTAGAAGAATTTTCACTATGTAACAAAAAACAAAATTTGTTTAATTTACTGTTTGTATTTTGAGAACGATTTCCGAAGTGAAAATTGAAACGTCAATAAACGTATTTTTATCTTTAATTGTGGCTTATTCCCAGTTAAATAGTAATTAAGATCTATCCTGTCCAAAATAAAACCCAACAACATGTAAAAAAAAAAATAAAAAAACTGCATCTATAAAATACCATGTGTGCATGCAACAATTTCTAAGTGGAAGAAATCACAAGACCACTAACTGTCAGGATAAACTAGCACGAATCATATATCAAGAACAGAGACTTCGACAAATCTTACATATGCAAACATGCCTGGGACAACAAAACAAAGTAAAATGAAAAGATGCATGTTTTATTTATTAAGAAATAATTTGAACGAAAATTTTAGTCCAGACGAATTTGTGGAGATTCGACATTTTGCCTAAAAAGTATTGAATTCTAAAAAGTATTAAGTTAGCTATAGAATTAGATTTAAGGTTGAATAAAACTGTCTCAAACACACACACACACATCGTTATTTTGCAAGCTTTTCTCACCATGACCATACGATGGTAACAGTTTGAATATATTGATAAGTACAAAAAACATTAATATTAATGTCTTTGAACATATTGCATGACAATTATAATTTTTATATGCATGAAGGTTAAAAGAACTTGAATAAAAACAGAACAAAAAATTTTGTTTCTATTACAAAAACAAAAATAATTTAACTTGTATGATATTGTCGTTTACCTCAGTTTCAGCATCATACTTCTTTTGAATCGCCAAATCATCAGTGATCTTAATAAAGCTGTTACCAGAAACATTGTCTAACCATTGAAGAGACTTAGGTTCTACACATGAAACACTAAAATCCTTAAGGCAAGAACTGTAGATATCCTGGATAACGTCCACAGCTGATCGATCGCAACGTGCGAATATTACTAATGTAGATAAAAGTACTATTGAATAATTAATGTTGTTCATTGTGCGGTACTATTGACGAAGTACTAGACAAGAATGAAATTTTAAGAATGATTAAGGTAGGATATATAGATTTTATAACGGATATGATTGGTACGTGTCTATATGCACGCGAAATTTTAGGACTATGTGAGTACCTTTTTTATTATAATTGATCGATATTAAATTGATACGAATGTAGGAATAACGAAAAGGAAAGTGTCAACAAGTAGGTAAGTGTTCCTTTAAAGTATAAGGGCAACAAATTTATAAATTAGGTTTTAGAAACTTATTCTTTAAAATTATTTTGGTATTCAAGGTCAAAAATAAATTTTATCATGGCAAGAAATTATGTTTGAATGAAGTAAAAGTTTTTTAATCCTTTTGCTCATGACGTGATGTATTTTATATTGTTCCTCCCATTATTTTTAGTTTAATTATGTGTAAATAGAAGCCACAAACGTTTATCTAGATTACAATAATAAACACTGTCAACTTATTATTACAGTTATGACAAGGATCTGTAGATTTATTGTTTTCAAGATATTTTTCACAGTTATGCACGACAGATTATAGTAAGTCTTTAGAAATAATGTAACTTTGGGTGTGTGATGCACAACCTCAAGTTTATTTTGTTTTACAAGGCACTTACCAGTAAAAATGGTTTCTAGTTAAGGACACTATAAACTATATTTAATATCACTAGTTAAACAGGACAATATGACTAACATAGGGGCAACTTACGAAAAACTGAGGAAAATATTTAGATCAGATATTCCCATGTGCTTGCAAAGAAAGGTTTTTGATCAATGTGTACTTTCAGTTCTAATGTATGGAGCAGAAACCCTTACTAGAAAAGTCATCAATAAGCTCCAAGTGGTACAGAGAGCAATGGAGAGGTCAATGTCAAATACATCCCTCAAAGACAAAGTTTGAAATCAAATAGTTAGGAGAAAAAGTGGTATGATGGACGCGGTTTAAAGAATTACAATTCTGTAATAAAACTGGGCAGTACATGTAGCTAGAGTCAGAGATGGAAGATGGACCAAAATCAATTTAGAATGGAGACCTAGACATGACGCTCATCGTATTCGTGGATGTCCTCCCAAAAGTTGGTCAGACAATATCAATCCCATCTAGCACAACTTGATTCAGGGTGCTCAAGATTAAATGCAATTGAATTATTTACGGGTGGGCTACGGTTAGCAGTGAACACAAAACGGCTGATGATGATGATGATGAGCTATACTATGATTAGCAATTTTACATTTTTTACTTAGATTATAAAATTTAATTTAAAAGAATATGGTCACCAGCACTAACAGGTAATTTTCGCATTATTTTGATATTTAATACTTTCGGTATTAAATAAGTTAGCTTAGTTAACTCAGTTAGTTATAATGACATTTTCTGTGGATTAGAAATAAAATAAATAATTAATCTTCATAAGCACTTATAAAAACTCCAGAACTCTTTTACGAAAGAATTTTTAAACTTTAGTTTTTCAAGGAAATTTCCGGTTATTAAGTTTTTTCACAATATTTGACACTTATTGGTTAAATTCTTAGTCACTTGGTTATGGTACTAAAGGGTTCGCAGGAAGTAGTACTGTAATGTTGAAAGTTGTACGTAGTATCTTTGATTCATCCATCATTGGTGTAAAGAGCATGGAATGTTGATGTCCACAAAACTAACAAATGTCTTCTTGGCTTATTAAATTATCATCTATCCCTTTCAAAATTATTTTTTACCTAGATGTGTCTCACCACCTCTTATAAGTACTTAGGACATGGGATACGCATAGGAAGAGATAATCAAACGTGTGAACTAAGCCGCCGCATAGGACTAACTTGGGTGGCATTCGGCAAGCTGAGCTATGTTCTTAAATCAGAACTGCCTATGTGTCTTAAAAGAAAAATCTATAATCAGTGCGTGTTGTCAGTAGTTACATATGGTGCAGAGACATTAACACTACTCAAGAAAGTAAGAAATAAAATTTGTGTTACCCAAAGAGCCATGGAACGATCGATGTTAGGCATTTCTCGTAGGGATCGGATCACGAACAAGGAAATAAGACGGAGAACAGGAGTGACAGATACCATAGAAAGAATTATGACCCTTAAGTGGAACTGGGCGGGGCACATAGCTAGAATGTTGGATAACAGATGGACACAGCGAATAATACAGTGGAGACCGAGACAAGAAGCACATCGAAGTAGAGGTCGTCCACCAACAAGATGGTCTGATGACATAAAATGGATCGACAAAAATTGGATGTAAACAGTACAAAAAAGAAATACATGGAAAAGACTCAGGGAGACCTATATCCAGCAGTGGATAGATCCGGGTTAGATGATGATGATGATGATGTGTCCCACCAGGTCTTCTTTGGTCTTTTCCTTCTATTTGTTCCAGGAACTTGCAACTTTAAAATTCCTTGTTTTGGCTGATTATTATTTTGACATTAAAGATGCCTAAGTAAACCTAACCCATTCTTTTTCGTTTGGTTACATTAATAGGTGCTGCCCCTAGACTTTACTAAATTATAAATTTTAATTGTATTCTTAATTTTCACCCCACTCGTGTCCAACGTTTTTATTTTTGCTTGTTAACTGATAAACATTTAGTTTCTTATATCATAGCTCGTTTCACAGTAGTTTTATATTTTTTGTCTCAGTTTCATTGGAATCTTTTTATTACAAAACACACCACTCACCTTCTCCCGGTTCATCCATGCCGCTCTAACCATCCTACTTCTTGTTTCTCTATTTCTTCCAAGAATCGTTATCAACAGCTATTATCTTATGTATAGTAGAATATTTCGTTTCTTAAAATTTTTTTTCTAGATATCTCTACCGTTCCAATTCGGGCTCTAAATCCCTTTCAGTATGTTAAGTACAAAAATAATGGGGAATACTTTCTCGTTATCTTATTGTTGCCTGTTCAATTTTAATGAATTTAAAATAAATGAGGTAATTTCTGGGAGTTGGTTGGTTTAAAGTTAGTGGATTTAATAATTTCAAACCTGACAATTCAAATAAAGTAACCTCAAATTCAACAATTTCAAACCTACACAATCCAAATTCAAACAACCTTTAGAAACCATCCTTTTCAATCCACAAGCAGTTAAATTCACCTAAGATTAAATAATTATTGTATCATGTCAACCCTTTTAATCCAGAAGCAGGAAAATGTTACACCCAATACACCCTTAAAATAAATAAGGACTAAGGTCTGAGCTTTGATGCAATTATACTTTCTTATGAACGGTATTAGTCCCTTTCACACTTGTTTTAATACTTTTTAATTGTTACTCACTCACACATCACACCGACATCATGGGAAAAATAGCGACATTGAGATGGCAATGGGTAGCACATGTAGCTAGACAAGACACCAACAGATGGTCTCATAAAGTGACTTTCTTGAGACCTCGAGAAACAAAAAGAAGCGTGGGAAGACTCAATAAGAGATGGATAGACGTTATAACAGTTGTAGCTGGAAAGCAGTGGATGAGAATTCTCTCACACATATCATTCTTGACACAATCTTGACATAATGTCCATAGACTGCTTTCTTATGAAATAAATATGTATGAAGATGCAAACGAGAGGCATAAATACTTCCTTCTTAGATGGTTCTCCCGTAAGGCATTTGAGCTTCTTAACTAATGTGGTTCTAAATGCAACTATATCAATACGAAGTGCTGTTTTTTAAATAATTTCAAGTTACTGTAGCAGAGGTATATACAATATAATAGTCCATAATCTATTTTTGATCTAACGAGTGACTTATAAATATTTAATAAATTAATTTCGTCAGTTCTCTATTTCTTATTTGATAATGTTTCCATTACATTTAATCCATTTTAACTTTTTTTATTTCTGAAATATGTTGTTTATATTTGTATTGTTGTTTTGTTTTTGCTGTTTTTGGTCGAATACCAATCCCAGAAAATTCATTTTGTCTGAGAATGTGAGCGGCACCATACAGTTTTCAGTTTTTAAGGTATTCTTTGGAGCCGGTGATTTCTTAAGGAAAGCATGCATCTTGTTTTAAGTGGGGAGATTTGCATGCCTACTGACGTGAATATACTTTTAATTTCGTGAATTTATAAATAGATTCTTGTCAGTATTTTTAAATTACTCTTATATTCTTGCCCTTTGCAAATAGAACTAGATCGTCGGCATCTAGTCTTCCCTTAACTAGCGGAAAGCAGTGATTCAATATATCGTTGATAGCCATGAGATAGAGAGTTAGGCTCATAATTAATCCCTCAGGTATTCCGTTTGCCTAATTTTTTTTGCTGAAGTGGAATTATCGCGAACACAGAAAGCTCTTGACTGAAGAAAGTTTTCTATGAATCTTAGCATATTATCCCAGACTTTTCATTTGAACAAATGTTTATCATGCTATTTTCCTGTATTTTTTGAGAATATATCTAGCTTCTGCACAACATCTTCTGTATCCTACTATAGTTTTGTTAGCTTTGTGATGCTTATACCTATTAAAGGCTCTTTAATAGGTTTTTACGGCTTCTTTGCATTCTAGAGACCACCATGGTAAAGGTTTATAATATTTTAGTGTTTTTGTTTTTTTAATATTGTTGATTTTCTGCTGCTTTGTTGATTATTGATATGAAGGTATCTAGGTATTTATCGTATGTCATTAGGAGTAATATCTTTTGTGTTGTTTATTTGATATTGTATGTATTTTGTAAAATTTCCTCAGTTTGCATTTTTAATATTCAATTTTGATATTCAAAAGAGGTACGGGATAGCGTCCCGTTCTAGTGTTGGTGATAAGGTTGGATAACATAACGATGTAACAATGGCTGACTACCCATTTGAATACATGCTAAACTTGGTGAGTCTTTAATCGTTTAACATATTTAGATTTTATAAGTTCATACTAAATTCCATTATCTTACTTCTAGAGTTAAGTTTTGTTGAACCCCATATCTTCTTCTTTGGGTGTCGTGTCCGTATTCAGACGTTGGCCGTCATCATATTTACAATTTCCTG